TAGTAGGGCTTAGGAGGCGGTGTGGCCAGAACAATACCCAGCGGATGCTCATGATGCTCGCCTCCTGGCTCGTCAAATGGCGCCAATCACTGTGGCAGTTTGTTCTGCAAGCGTCTGAGGCTTAGTAGGGCTTAGGAGGCGGTGTGGCCAGAACAATACCCAGCGGATGCTCATGATGCTCGCCTCCTGGCTCGTCAAATGGCGCCAATCACTGGGGCAGTTTGTTCTGCAAGCGTCTGAGGCTTAGTAGGTCTTAGGAGGCGGTGTGGCCAGAACAATACCCAGCTGATGCTCATGATGCTCGCCTCCTGGCTCGTCAAATGGCGCCAATCACTGGGGCAGTTTGTTCTGCAAGCGTCTGAGGCTTAGTAGGGCTTAGGAGGCGGTGTGGCCAGAACAATACCCAGCGGATGCTCATGATGCTCGCCTCCTGGCTCGTCAAATGGCGCCAATCACTGGGGCAGTTTGTTCTGCAAGCGTCTGAGGCTTAGTAGGGCTTAGGAGGCGGTGTGGCCAGAACAATACCCAGCGGATGCTCATGATGCTTCCCAAATTGGGCGCCAAAGGCTGCATCAGCGAGGTCGAGTCTGAGCTCTCTGATGTCCAAAAGCCCAAAAGACGTACACCAAATGTAACTTACTCTCCACCGCAAGGCTGAAATCTGTTGCAGGCCGATTGCTCATGATGCTCATGGAATTTCCAAGGCAGCAGCTGCAAAGCGGACCAGCGCACTGCTGTAGCCGTCTCTGGCCATCACGGTATGTCTGAAACTTTGTATCCCAATCTCTGGCAAAGAGCCGCGGGTGATTCTCCTCTCTTCTCTCTGATTCCGGGGCATGTTATCCTGATGCAGATGAATGGGTTGCCCAAGGTATGCCAGTCAAAGGAACTCGTTTAACATGGAGTGGTGGAGCCTTGGGCACGGTGCTGTGAGGCCAAAGCCAAACAGAAACGTTTGGAGATTCGCAGTGAGATCGACATCATGAAGCTGCAGGGACCTTATCGAAGTCTGACGTTTCACATCCGGCCAGGAAGGCTACTAGATGCTACTTAGACTTGAACAGTGACCAATTCAGAACAGCTAAGGACGGACCACCCAAACGTGGTGAAGCTCCATGAAACTTTTGAGGACAAGTCCCAGATGTATTTGGCAGCGGGCTCGATCGGGATCATCGCGACGGCTCCTTTCACATTCCTGCGGTAAGTGATCGAAAACCCCCCCCCCTCTTCCCCCTTCCCCCTTCCCCCCTTCCCCCTTTCCCCCCTTCCCCCTTCCCACTCTTCCCCCTCTTCCCCCCTTCAACCCCGCAGCATGAATATCGGGGGCCGCAATTGCTGAGGTCATGGAGCTCTGCGCCGGTGGCGACTTAGACAAGCACATGAAGGGGCAAGGTGGCCCATATAGCGAGCACCAGGCCAGCAGCTCTCCCCACCTGTCCCATGATCCTCGAGCTGGCTTCCTTAATTCTGCCACGAAGTAGAAACTTGAGGATTGTTATTCCTGAGGCCCAGTCCTTTGCTGCCGCAACGGGCAGGGCTTGTAGCCTGGACACCCTAGACACGCCGCAACTTGCCTCCGTCTGCCGAACTGCCTAGAGACCCAATGGCTCGTTGCAAGTAAAAGGCCCCCGCAGTCGCGTGAATGTCAAGCCTCAGCTGCCTTCATCGAAATTTCACATTTCGTATGGGGGCTTTCGTTGTCCAACCAGTGTATGAAACCTTGCATCTAGGACTTGGCCCTCCACCACCAAGAGATAGTCGAACCCTGCATAGCACTTGCTGCGCATGGGTCCCGAAGGCCGCGATCCTGATGGACCAAATTTTAAAAGCAGCCATACGCTCAGATAGCTTCGTATCAATACCGAACAACTCACAAGATAGGTCGCAGGACTGCGCAGGTAGTTGATGGTAGTTTTCTAGGCCGTGACTTGACTAAAGGCTCGCTTCTGGCCAGCGCTTATGTGCTGCTAAAGAGGGGATCGTGATGATCAAGAAGATGGCAGTGGCAGTTCTCTTGACTATCCTTCGCATTCTTGCCGAGGTCTCTTATCTCCACAACTGCAAAAGCATTTGTGCGCAGCTGAGATGCCAACACTCGGGCGCCGCCCGTTTTGCCATGGATGTCGACGTGATTTCGCATGGCTGTGGTCAGATTTCGCCGCCCCGAAAAAGTTCCTCTCACATAATTCGCTGGATATGACACGAAACGCAGGAAAAGAACATAAGTAAAGCGCCGCCTCTTTCAGCCTTTCTCATCAGAATCCCAGAGCCTTGTCAGGGCTTCGAGGAGACCTCTGATGCATTGTAATGTTCAACATCATTTCAACCCTACAGCTTCTACTGCGCAACAGCTTCTACTGAACACGCCCACGTGCTACTCAATGCAGCTGGTGCATGCCGTTAACAGCATACTCGAGGTACTTTGGTGCCGCCCTCTGGATGGTAGTGTACATCATGCAGGGACAGTGGCCGCATGGTTCTGCTCCCTTGCAATCCCAGAGCTTAGCAAACTGTAGTAGCACAACAGCAACAGTGACTCGGCATTGGGATTTCAGGGTTTCTTGGCTCATTCCTGACATGCCTACAAAGCCTACCATAGCCTACCTGGGCCTGTCTCCAAGCAAAGTCGGTTCTTCGAGGTCACCGGGATTTGAAGCTGCAAAACTTCCTCTTCTCCCGCAAGGCCACGATGCCAAGGAGGAACTCAGCACATGTAGCCTAAAGGTCTGACCCCCTCCCCGGCTGCATCTCTGAATATAAGGGTCGTGCGCGCGCGAAATGAAGGCTTACGGCCCAAGACTCAATTTTACTTTGTTCATCCGCTTTGCTCTTGTAGATTTTGAGACCGTAGGTGGACTTTATCCCGGATTCGTTGGGGATGCGGATGTTGACTGTACAGGGCCATTATAGCAAGGCCCCATCGATGTTGTTCCCATGTTGGCTGTCATGAACCTGGCGGATGTCATATATACATATATATATATAGAGGATATGATATGTTATGATATTATAGTACATTATATTACATTCTATATATATATATATGTATGCATGCCTACCCGAACTTGTTGGATGGCCCTCTGGCATCGGGGAGATGGGCCCCAAGGGTTTTTTCTAGAGACTCTGAGAAGCTACGTCCACACCTTATCGTGAGATGCACGATGGAAATTTGTGAACGAACTCACTGTGCAGTGGCTGAGACAGCATATCTGCAGGCGCCTGTGGAGAACAACCTGCCCACGCCCTGGTGTCGAGGGTGCCAGTGGAGCTACGCCGTGCATCAGTTGTCCTACAAGCCTTTTTGAAGGGATCACCCCCTTGCTATCGCCATCTGAGAGGCAGAAGAGGATACTCCTCACCAGTTCCCCCTGCCCAAGTTGCTGATTAAATCATGATGACCCTGTGTCCCAAGAGTGGCTTGGAAGCCTTGAAGAATAGGATGGTGACCTGCTTTGACGAGCTACCAGAAACGCACTACTGACAGTAAGGGAATCAGCCAGCCTCGAGGCCATGCATGGGATGAAAGCTTTTGCTCAGCTGCTCCAGTATCCCCCCTACAGTTGCCTTAAAGCCCTGCTTGGTCATGTTCCGTACACCTGCAAGCAAACCCCGTAAAGGTCTCAAAAGAGGGAAGCTCGCAGTTTAAGCCCCCAAGCCCCCAAGTGCGCCCACAAAGGCTGAAGTTGGCCGACTTCGGCCTTGCCTGCGGCTTCGAGCCTGGGGGGGTCCCGCGCACAGCGTCGTGCGCAACCTTGTTCGTAGACTTCGGGTCCACGCAGCTTTCTAAAAAGCGAAGTGGCTTGGCTTCGGTTTCTTTTGGTGGCCTGTTTTGGCTGGCAGGTGCTGGCGACGAAAGCCGGAACGGTTTCATACTGTTCTCCACAGGCACATGCGCACTTGATGGGCTTTGTTGCTGCCTTTGGCAGAGAGGGCAGCGCTGCCCCTGTGTGCGCAGAGTTTCAGGTCCTGGGCGGAGTTTACGACAACTCTGCGGACTTGTGGAGTTGTGGCGTGATCATGTACGTGAAGAGCCGAGATGGGCCTTCAATGGGCGTGGGGTTGTGATCTCACATGGCCTCGCTGGTGATGTTCAAGTAAGGCCAGCGCAAAGGCGTGCTTGCTGACTTTCCATTCCTACTTGTAGCAATTGTAGCAGTCTTTCCATCATGAGCTGACTGAAGGGCTTTCAAAAGGTTTTAATGCTTGGCGGAGTTCTCTGGAATGCTTCTGCTCGCTGAGATGCTGCTGGCCGCACAGCCGCCCTTTCCTGGTAAAAACGATGCGGAGGCCAAGAGCTGCAATAGAAAGCTTGAGAGGTGGATCTGGATGACTGGCCAGGTTGTGCAGCGTGTGCGAAAGGGAAACTATGTGTTCAACGACATCGCTTGGTCGACAGTGTTTGGAGCTTGGATCCACAACACTAGGTGGCTGCCAGCACGTAGCGTAGCACGGTGCTAGAATCCGTTTTAGCATTCGTATGCAAAAGCACATGCTGCCATCGATACGCAAATCTGAAGACGTCTGTGCCGATCTTGCTTACAGCAATTCGGGCCAGGGCTCAGATGTAGATCGCAGGATCACAGGCAGAAAGCAAACATGGCCGCTCCACCTGCAAAGCATGGCTGGCAAAATGCTTGCGAGACCGACGCACTGACGCAAAGGTCCGAGGAGGCGAAGAGCCTCGTGCGCCGGCTGCTGAAGTATCAGCCCTTCGACAGGGCCACAGCAGTCCAGGCCAGGAGTCTTTCGGGTGGGGATTGGGGGTGGTCGGCTGCGGTTTAGTCTGGGTTTTTGATTGGTTAATGTTGGTACTGTCGGATCTTTCCAGGCTTGAAGGTTGCCGGAGTGTTGACGCAGAGAGAGCCGAGTGAATGCATGTAGCTGCACCAGGATTCAACTGCTGCGGCTTGGTGTCTTCCAACTGGCTGTTTGCATCTTCAAGGGACTGACCCTGCGTCCTATCTTGCACAAGGCCCGGGCACATTCTTGGTTCCACTGCGCCGCACCGTCCCTTCGGTGTGCAGTGCCTGTGCAGCCCAGCGTGGTCTCGGTGTGGACCTTGGTGCATGAACTGGGTATGTATCTTGCTTCGTGGTTCGGCGCAGTGTTGTTTGTGCATATACATATTTGTTTTTCTTCTCACAAGCTCCACTTTAAGGGCCAAAGCAACGAAAGATATTGGTGCTGCTTTAAGTGGGCGTGTTATTGAGGATGCAACTGCTTAGGATTTTGCCGTGCAGGTTCAGGGACCTACGGTGCCAGTCTTGACTCGTTGCTCATGTGCTTACGCGTGTACTCGGGTGGGAACGTGATGTAACCCTAAGCAGGACGCGGAGACTCAGGAGGGCTCGCTGGCTCGGGTTGCTGTGACTTCGTGGGCCTGCCATTGTGAATGTGTTAGAGACTGTTAGAGAGACCCCTGGGTGCCCCACCAAACAAGCACGAGCTGTTGCAGCCATGGGAAGCCGAAGCTCGCGAGCCAAACTTGAGAACGACAGATAAATGCTCCACGTGTCGACTGAGGACGTACTGCGGTTTTCCAGGATGACTACGTTTCAACGGGCCACTGCCTTACAATGGAAAGTTAACAGTACTCCACTGGAAGTGGAAGGCCATCACTATCAACCACTATGCCATTCTGCTTTTCTGTATGTGTCGGTTTGCTATGATGACCTGAGCGACGCTGGACAACTGGGAAGTTGACCACATCTGTGCCCCACATGCCCGGTTGCATGTAGCAGCTTGTCTTCCCGCCATGTGCTTGAGAAGTCAACCTGAAGGGCATCCATCCTGAGTGACCCAGGCTTGAAGCAATCGATTCCACATTCCTGGCACATAGTCTGTTCTTAACTCCCAACACCTAGAAAAATGTGTTGCGGGCGCAGGAGTCTGGAAGTTTGACATGCCTGCTTTCAAACTTTTGTAAACATCCATTGCTTGGCGAGGCTGCCCTGCGCGCGGTTGCAATGCAGCTCAATCAGGTGGCTCCCTGCACCCTGCAGTGCTGCTTTTGAATGCCCAGTCCCCTCAAAGCCTCCACCCCGAGGCCCAAGTACAGACTCCCCTCTGTACACGCAGCATTGTAAGGAAGCCGTCGACAGCTGTTCGCGGGATTTCGCGGTCATCACCTCAAAAGCCTCGTGGAGTCTTTTAGAGCCACCTGAAGTCGTCAGTGTGAAGCCAGACGTGTGAAGTAGAGGTCCAGGATCGCACAAGCCACGCGGGTGCTAAGGCCCTGGACTACAAAGGCATGAGTCTGCTGTCGCTCAACGACCTCGAGGACCGCCTGTGAAGACCACACTCTCGAGAGAAGCGGCGCAGTGAGACCCAGAGGTGGAGCCTTGGCATGGCCTTCGAGCCATATGCCGAGTGAGGATAAATGCGGGAGTTTTCGTTGGGGGCCCATGGAGCTGCTAGTGCTGGTATGGCTTTGTGGACGACAAGCCCTCAGGTAGTGACTTCTACTACGGTTGTCAGGGTTTTGTCGAGGACTTCTTCCTTGAAGCTGATTGTTTGATACTTGCTGCCGGGAGGAGTTATCGGAGATGCCGGACTTGGAGCCATTCCGGCACCAACTTCAGGAGGCGCTGGGAATCGAGTGCTGCTTGAGCCGAGGACACTGGAGAACTGCCTGTAAGGAGGGCACCCAAGTAGAAGCAAGAGGTGGTAAAGGCTCACAGGTGTAGGTGAAGCCCTTTGCATCCTGACAAAAGCATTTTGGACTAAGTGAGAGAGACTCGCAGAGCTGCGAATATTGAATTAGGGCTCATGTCCATGTGAGAACTTGACTTCAAGAGAGCTCTCTTGAAATCTCAAAGTAGGGCCAGCTGGGAGCCCATGAGCTCGTTAGGATATCTATGTTCTGCCGCCGTCGCCACTGGCCACGCAACAGGGCTCTTGTGGCCCCATGCGACTTACAGTACACAGGCGCCATTGAAGAATCTGGTCACATTTCCTCGCCAAGGCTCCGTTCAAGCTAAATTCAAACACTGACCAAATTGAATGATGAAAAAGCCGCTGCGTGCCTCTTTTAGCTAGCTCTGACGGGGGAGTCTTAAGTCTTAAGCCTAGGCGATCGCCACGATGTAGAAGATCACGGGGGAGTGCCACAAGGAACCCTAAACCCTGAGGCAGAACCCTAGAATTTTATCTGTCGAAGCCGTGGCATCCTGCAATGGCAAATCCGGAAGAGTGGCAGGCTTATGACATGAGATCACTGCGCACCACTGTTGCTGAAGGCTGCTTTTGCTTTCATATCTCCAGGCATGCGCTAAACCAGTTCATCTTGCCACAACTTGATGTATGCACTGCATGAATGCGCATGTGCTGCGGTGGAGATGCTTGAGCCTTATCCTTAAAGCTGCGCGCTCACCGATGCTATTATAGTGGTCGAATGAAGCTGTCATATGAATCCGAAATAAAACTTGAACTGGCGTGCTCCTTATTGTCCTTATCGGACTTATCGCTATCCAGCGCTGTCCTCTTCAAATAAGTGTCCCGAGCTTCCGCCGGCACAGACTCCATATTGTGGGGAGCACATTGGCATCCTTTGCCTAGGCTTTGTAGCGCCGAGGTCGGATCAAGCCTTTGCTGTCCCGGCAACCTCAGGGAGTGTCTCGATGCAGTTGGATGGAGGATCCCTTTCAGTCCATAGCTCTGATTGTCACATGTCCTTCGCCAAAGCTGCTCATGGGATGTCACACTGACGGGATGGAGGAGTATTCATGAATAGTACCGAAATTGATGATGTTCATGATTAAGGATGGAGTAGGGATGCACTGGGACGAAGAAACAAGAAATTGAAGACACATATTGATCTGCATTTACGTTCTTTCGAGCCTTGAAGCCTACAGTAGCTAGGCAGGCACACGCAAGCACTTTAGAATAGTTCCGACGGTTCGGAACAGTTCCCGCCCGACTGCTTGGGGTTGTTTCTGAAAAGGCCCTGAGAATGCTCTAAAGGTTGTGAGGGTTGTCTGATGGTTCCGGAGCGTGTGCTTTCGCACGCAAACAAGAAACCGTGCATTCCAATTGATGAGATAGATGATGATGAGCAGCCGGGAACTTTGTTTCCAAAGAGTCCGAGATGCGGGTTCGCTGCGTCCTTTCTCCTGCTTGAGGGGGCGTCTATTTCAAGGACAAAGTGCCACGCATTATGTGCCGCGACCCGGAACGTATAACATTCAGGACAACAGGCAAACTGGGCAACAGGTGTGCGACCGCCGAGGAATGTGGCCCCATTGTCTTCATACGGAACGAGCTGAACCCCCTCGATGTGCTTTGTAACATGTATACGACAAAGCTGGCGGAAGACGACACATCAATCAAGGAAGATCGAAACCTCCTTTCCGCGGCACCTGCAAAGGAACACGCCTAGCCCGGTTTCGGTTTCGAGAAAGGGTCGGAGTCTGGACTTTAGGCCCTTTAGGTATAGGGTAAGCAAGCTTTCGGCTGTCGAGGTCATGGACCTCCACCCGGAATGGGCGGCGGTGCACAGAATGTCCACCTCCACCTCGAGGCCCGAGTCCTACTATCGCAGCAAGGATCAGCCTTGGACTAGACCGAAGTGTCAAAAGACATCCGGCTGCAGGCCCAAAGTGTCGAGTTGGTTGAAGGAGGCGCCGTTCTTTTCTTTGGGGGACTCGCAGCTTCAGTGTTACCGCAACTGGCAATGTTGGAGACCCGGAGGTATTGGGGCAATCCGGCCGCATAGCTGGATTCTGCCCATATTGCTTATCTGCTTGATATGCCCGGCACGTACCTCAGAACGGATGCAAAGGTCGGGAGGATTAGTCGATGATGCCGGGGACAGAGGTTATGCTGACCACACTCGTAAAATGCTTGCCGCGAAGAGACGGCCGCCGGCTTTAGCTTGAGAAGGTGCCGGTGCTTTTGCTAGCTATGAACGAGCCAACTCTAGTGATGTAGTCAGTGCCACGTGTTGGGTATTCTTGCCTTTCCTCGCCCAAACCTGCAAGATGTTTGTACCGGCCCAGTTCCTCGCACTACAGAAGAAGCTCCTCCCCAAGCTCATCGCCAAGGCCCAGACTCCTCGCACATGACGCGCCAAATAGTGTAATTTGCGGGGTTGGCCAAAAAACCCGGAGACGTTTGGACACGCAGTGGGATTTGAGTCATTAGAGCTTGGCTTCTGGGAAGCATCGCGCCCTGTCTTATCGCAGCTGTTGCAGGTCCTGTCGCGGCTTTATTTTTGGCCTACCATTGGTCTTACTCTGCTGCGGAGCTGGCGGGATGGGCGTGGCCTCTGGTGCCAGGTGCCCGCGGTGGTCAAAAAATAAGGAGCTTCGTTTTGCTGCTGCTTGAGTCTTGCATGGGATGGATCTGTTTCGAGATTGAAGGGTCCGTGGTGTGCGTGGTTTTGTTTGTGTTTGGTTAGAACTGTTTGTTCGTTTGTTGGTCGGCATCTGTGTGCTTGCTTGATCTTGCTTGTGTGCTTGCTTGTATACTTGCATGTGTTCTTGCACTTGCTTGCTTGCGGTTTGTTCACTCATTGGGGGTGGCGCGTCTGGCGGCAAGTACCTGGGTTCACTTTTCATGTTTTGTCTTTAGTACTGAGGGCTTGACAATGACTGGCTGCGTTGCAGCAAAGCGTCGACTCATCTAGGGGCAACTGATGTGCCCTTGTCTCTCAGAACTGAACAACAACAAACTGAATGGAGGAAAGTTGAGAGTTGAATTCAGCCTGACGAGCAGAGCCATCTCAGCATTGTTTGCTGCGCTAGCCTCACGAGCACGAAGACCTTTGCCAGGTTGACGATACCCTCCTCCTAGGCTCCACGCCGGGTGCTTCAAAGTTTTGAGCGCAGAAGTTTTTGAGGTGAGTACAGGAGTGCATGCGGCTACGCATAGAGGCCGAATCGAGGAGCCTCCCAAGTCAGATGGAATCATATGGCATCACACTTGAACTGCTGACATACGTTTTGGCGCAGTCGTGTTAGTCTCAGACTGCATGCCCAAGTTGTATGAGGACGGCACAAGCAGCCCGGTCGGCACTAGTTGGCACTCGGGCCGTTAACTCTGCAAGAAACGACGTTTGGCAAGGCATGGCTGTGGGCCGAGAGCACCTACACCATAAGCTTAGCCTAGATACTCTGCTCCCTCTTGTATGGGTGCACCAGCCTACGCTACCAGTCACTACCCTCGTAGATGTGAGGTGAGCACACAGATCCGATGCTTGTCTGATCATGGGCCTCTGTGCGCGTGCAATGGCCGGCTTTAGCTGTCTGCCGTGGATTCTGGTATCATGGGCTGCGGGAAGAGTTATGAACCCCCCTAGCTTGTGAAGACCATGTTGCTGCTCGGGGCCTTGGCCACAGTGTTTGGCCTGGCGCTTTCCCGAAGTCGGGAAGTCGCTGACCTCGCCAGCAGCATTTTCGGGTCTTTTGTCGCCGTGACTGGAGATGCTCACCAAGCCAAAGTTGCGCAGGACATTTTCCGCCAACAAGTTCGGTATGAGCGATCCATTCAGATCCGCGAGGACATGCGCGATGTGAACAAGCTGATGATGGAGAGTGTCCAAACCCATGTGATCATGGGGAGTATCGTTTTGGGCGTTTGTTGGACCATGTGCATTGAAGGCTTTCCGCCAGAGGAAGCGGAACGTGTGGTGGTGAGTCTTTGGCTTGTTTTCACCTGCTGGTCTGTCACTTACACGCTCATTGCCCTTTGGCTGGCCCTTCGATTTCAGATGAAAATGTCATCAAGTGCTCGTGACCGATTACTCCGGCGCCACCGCCTGATGGTGCCTGACGACCTGGTTGTAGGTCGCATGGGTGGACACAACGTAGTCAACCAAGTTGCCAATTTTCACAGCTGGCTGCTCACTGCCATCAACAATCTCACATCTACCGATCCCGCCAACGAGGACGACAACGCCATCCGTGTTCGGGGGCGTCGCCACATTGGCCTGCGAGTGCAGGTTGAGCCAAGAGAAGGGTATGTGGATGTGGAGCCACTTCGAAAGGGCATGCACGCGTGGCTGCATCCGGAGGGGGACGGCTGGTCCTTCCACACGCTTCTTGACATTCCCTTCTTTTTGACAGGCGAAACCCTGATTCGCAGTCCTTGGCAGTTCACTGGCGATCGACCTTTGGCTTTTCGAGTGTACGGTGAGGCGACTCTGTATGTGGCGGCCCAGTGCCCACCACTGCGTTCGCAAAACAAGCAGAAGAACGAACCTTCGACTTCAACCAACAACCATGGTTTGAAGAAGGCCCTTTGGCTGGCAGGGCAGGTGCCTGACTGGCCGGCAGACGAGCTTCCACTGGCACTGCAAGGCTTCCACGAGGACTGGGCTGGGGAGAGCGGCTATGGGGAGTTCCGGCGCGTGGAGGGCTTCTCCATGTACGTTGATCGCAACGATATCGAGATGCCACTGTACAAGTTCGCCATAGCAAAAGAAGCATTTTTGATTCGTCGTGGACATTTATTATGCGTAATCTACAGCACCACACTAAGCGCGTTAGTTTCGGAGCTGTTTTGTTGGTATATGTAGGCGTTACGTATCGGTTCAGCAACCATGGGTCATGCCCCGCATATTTTCAGATGTTCCAAAAAGCAGACA